TTTGGGTTTAAAATTTTGAATTCTGCATGCGTACGTGAACGATCCTTTTATGCGGGAATATGAGGCTAATTTACGTCGGCCTGGTTGGGATCCAACGTAAATTAGCAATTCTACGTCGGCTTGTATACTGCTCCTACGTAGAATTAATAATTTACGTCGGACCCCCACCAGGCCGACGTAAATTAGCTCTCTTTATTTACCATTCTGCCACCACGTTTTTATAACGTCAGTGTTGACCTATTCCGACGTAATTTAGGTGACGTAAAAGGCTCTTTTTGCACTAGTGAATTACTTCATGAACTATTTGGTTCACGTTGCAATTTGTGGCTCCTCGTCCTCACGCCGTTTCCAATTTTAGTTTTTTATTCCCTAACAATTTATGATGCATATTGTGAAACAACAAAATTATATGCCATGTGAAGATAATAGTATTTACATAGTTTTACTTCTAGTGATCTATTACTAGCAACATTAACAAGCTTAGTATTTACATTTTACATCTATTTGTTGTTATAAATGCAACACTTATTTTATTATTTTTCAAATATATTTTTAATTTATTTATTTGATCTAAAATTATTTTTAATTTTATTCAATTTTAATTAGGGTCAATTTGACTCAATAATCTAATTTGATCTATGTTGGAGGCACGACAACTAAATTCACATTCATGAATATCCATCTGATTTTGACCCAATTTTGATGGAAAAAAATTACTTTGAATAAGTAAAAGATCGAGTTTAGATTTTCTTCAACTTGAGAAATCGGATTCATATGTGGGTTCGGATATATAACTCCCAATCTCACCCTATTTCTATATCCACTTTACTGCATTTTTTTTATAGCAATATATATATATATATATATATATATATCAAATTAAAATAAAATATCAATACAATTAAAAACATGATTTTCTTCAAATAATAATTATAACATAATATCATAATTAATAATATTATACAAAATAATTTTCATAAATGATGATTATTATAAAACCTTTAAAAATTCAATTTTTATATTATTTATATTATAATATAATTATTAACTTATAATTTAATTTTTTTAAAATATATAAATAAATTAAAATTCTAAAAAAATGTGATGAATCCTTATAAATTTATCCAAACTCGACAAAATTCAACGAAGATGAATTTTTAAAAATATAAATTTGTCTCTTTAAAAAATATAATTTAACTTTTCTTTTTTGTTTCATTATACATTTTACATCATATGTTCTAAGTTGTAGATTTGAGTTTTCTTCAACCGGGAAAATCGGGTTAGGTAATATAACTCTTCACTCTGCCATGCCTTTCTCCTGTCCCCATACCACACCATTGCCTCTTCTTTTGCTTGTTACAAAACATACTTGATAAAATCATACATTTAATAATTTTATTTTTAAATTCTTTCTTGTTTATTAATTTTATATATTGTTTGAATTAAAATATAACTAATAAGTTAATATATAATGCCATGAATTAAAATTAAAAATTTAGACCATTAAAAATAACTTGGTTTCTCGATATATTTTCTTAAATAACAATATTTTTTTATTTTTATTTTTTGAAAGATTAAATTATTTAAATGAATTTTATATATTAACACATACAGGAATACTTACTGAATGTGTAGTATATCGACCTAAATGTAGCTTTGAATATGGAAACAAATTAATTAGAGATTTGAATTAGATTATTTTGTAAATGATAATTAAGTGGCGGCCGTGATAATTAAAGCCAAGTGGGTTAAGCCGAAAGCTGAGCGTGACTGGCGATGATTCATGACCCGACACTTTTACTTATTACTTAATATATGTCTCTACCTTGCATCACCTACACAACACATTCCCCATTTTTATTTATTTATTTACTATTTCAAGTATTATTCTCCTTTCAAAATAACTATTTTTTTAATTAATTTTATAATAAAAATATATAATCGATTCTTAAAATTTCAACAGGTAAACTTAAAGATAAACCTTGCTACAAACAACCCTATATTGAGTACTCAAGGGAAAGGGGCACCCAAGGCCTCAAAGAAAATACGAACCAAAGCACTTTCGGTTAGCATAGCCCTAGGAATAGTGCCTAGTGACCATACAAATGACACCTAATGTCATTGACTTAGTGCTTTTAGTTTTTCCAACATCCTTCCTTGAGCTCCCAATCCTTTGATGGGAATTCCAATACTGTTTAATTTTCTTGATCAATCTTCATCATTTTAAACCCAACTATTCCCTTTATTATTACGTAACATAAAAACATCAAAATTAAATTAAAAATAAGTAAATCCAAACTAAAACAAAAACAAATTTAGTCAAATAAATTTTCTCAATATAAGATATAGGGTATTGATTTGTGATTTGGTTTTATTCAACATCAATTTTATTTATCAATATGTTAAATCAAACCAAGATGTTCTTTTATTGTTTGTCAATTGGATTGCTTTATTTATTTATACAAAACTTGTTTATATAATATAAAATTTAATAAGTAAATTTACATGATGATTATTAGAGTTTGATATACATGTCACTTATGTCCACATAAGCTCACAAGGAAATGGATTGGGTTGGTCTGCGAAGATTCGTAATTGTTTTGCGAGTTGACGGGTTAGCTAAGGGCTAGAAATAAAAATAAAACAATATCCACTTTTACAGTTTACTTAATTATTTATAATTTGTATATAAATAATTATTTTCATCTATTCCTGATTAAGAAATAAATGATTATTTAATTTTACACTTTTACTTCTCAATTTTTAACAGATAAATAATTGTTTTAATTTTTTTCTTTAAATATTAAGTTTGTTAAACGGGTTAATTGGCCCATGAATTTGCATACCAAATCCCATTTAACCCGCATGCTAAATGGACAACTCCATATAAGCTAATGAAAATTAGATTCTCCCCTCATGGATTGCATTTTAAACACACTAGCTTGCAGACTGCAACTCATATGCCCATCTCTTATTTTATATATATATATAT